GACAGCCCTGTGCTCATGGTCTATGGCTTGGATCAATCTAAGATGAACTGTGATCGAGTCTTCAATGTCTTCTGCTTGTATGGCAATGTGGAGAAGGTGAAGTTCATGAAAAGCAAGCCAGGGGCTGCTATGGTAGAGATGGCTGATGGCTATGCTGTGGACCGGGCTATAACTCACCTGAACAACAACTTCATGTTTGGGCAGAAGATGAATGTCTGTGTCTCTAAGCAGCCAGCCATCATGCCCAGTCAGTCATATGGGCTAGAAGATGGGTCTTGCAGTTACAAAGACTTCAGCGAATCAAGGAACAATCGGTTCTCCACCCCAGAGCAGGCAGCCAAGAACCGCATCCAGCACCCCAGCAATGTGCTGCACTTCTTCAACGCCCCCCTGGAGGTGACTGAGGAGAACTTCTTTGAGATCTGCGATGAGCTGGGAGTGAAGCGACCAACTTCTGTGAAAGTATTCTCAGGCAAAAGTGAGCGCAGCTCCTCTGGGCTGCTGGAGTGGGAATCCAAGAGTGATGCCCTGGAGACCTTGGGCTTCCTGAACCATTACCAGATGAAAAACCCAAATGGCCCCTACCCGTACACTCTGAAGTTGTGCTTCTCCACTGCTCAGCATGCCTCCTAATTAGGGGTCCAGGAAGAGCCACCTAAGCAGGAAAACGGTTCTTTCATTTTTGCCATTGGGGTTTTTTGTTGTTTTTTCTTTTTGCAAAAAAAACGTTCTTGTATTCCTTTTTTTAATGCTAGTTAGTAGAGGCTTAACCATAATGGAAATGCTGGAAGTCTGGAGGGGGTGGGAGAGGGGAACTGATAGCTCCCAAGATTAACCTTCACTTTTTAAAAATGATTGTACATGTGATTTTTTTTTCCTGTTCATACATTTGTGCTGCCCATGTATTCTTGGCACATGTCAATAAAATTGTTTGGAAAATAAAAAAAAAAAAGTGATGGAGGACAGCACTCTGCGAGGGAGATTATTCTTGAGCTTGATTCGTAGATGATACCTGGTTTTAGTGGGTAACTGAACTGGGGACAGCTCCCATATCAATTTCCCCTCTCCGAAAAATCCCAACTATTCTTTCAAGCTCAACAATCAGATATCCCCCAATTACCAAGAGAGAAATGAAGGCACATGAAACAGAAAGCACAGGAAGGATCCTGCCTGGCGATCCTCTACAGTCCCTGTAAGCTGGGAGGGTCTCCTCAGCTCCAGCACTTATTAGCATAACTACAGAACAGAAAGGGATGGAGAACAACCTAGAACTTCTTCAGTGAATCACCCAGAAACTGTCATGTAAGAAAATGCCCGATGGCCCAACACTAGCCCTCCACAGCCAGGCACAGGCTACCTGCAGCATACAAGCAGATGGCAGCTGTGGAGTCAGCACTCCCTCCAGGCACTGCCAGTGCTGACAGGAAGCAAGGTAGTGAGAAAAGCCTGGAACTCAGCATACACTGTGAGGCTCAAAGCTGGCATAGCCTGAGGGACTGTTAAGTTCCAAGCAGCACTGGAGGTTGTTAATAATCCTAGAAACAGACACACAGAGTCCTGAAAATCTTTCCAGTCTTAGCTATAGGCAGAATATGAATAATAATTGTTGATGTTTATTAATATTCTTTAATAATTAGGAGAAAGTTGTTCATTCATTTGCTTATTCATCTAATTCTCCCTGGGGCCCCACTAGTGCTGACACAATGCTGAGTGCTAAGAAAATCTTGGTGCATAAAACAGACACAGACTTGGCCTTGCAAATTTATAGACCAGAGACATTAACTAAGAAGCATGGAAAATGATGTCAACTTATAGGAAAATAAACCAAGACATGGCCGTGCACAAGAAATAAGGAAAGGCATCTACTTAGGCTGAGTGAAGAAGAGTTTTGTGAAAGGTGACGTCCCAGATGTGTCATGAAACATTGCAAAGGAGTCTGTTATGCAAAGGGCAGAGGGGAGAGAATGACAGGAGGCCTGAAGAAGAAATGGCATATTTGAGAATGTAAAGGTACCCAGGAAGGCTAGAAGGGCAATGGCCACTTGACCTAGAGGGAGGGGTGTCCTGGGGGAGAAAAGGATGCAATGAACTGCTAATATCAAGCCTGGTGGGGGAATGTACACTTATGATCCCATCCATCACTCTGAGAAGCTGAGCAGGATAGTGGATCACAGTCCAAACTGGACAACTTAGTGACTTAGCAAAACTTTGTCTCAAAATTTAAAAAGAGCTGGGGATGTAGCCCAGTGAAAAGCCCCAGGATTCAATCTCCAGTGTCAAGAAAAGAAAAGAAAAAGGAGGAAAGAAGAAGGGAAGGAAAGAAGAAGGAAGGAAGGAAGGAAGGAAGGAAGGAAGGAAGGAAGGAAGGAAGGAAGACAGAAAACAGACAGAAACAAAGAAACAAACAAAGGGAAAGAGGCAGGCAGGCAACAAAAAAGAGAGAGAAAAATTAAATCAATATTACAATAATAATAATAAAAATAACAAAAACTTCCTAGTCAGGCATGACGGTACATGTGAATAAGCCAGAAACCAAGAGGCTGAAGTAGGAGGATCACCTTGAGCTCAAGGCCAGCCTAGACTACATAAAAAAGGCCCTGTCTCAAAGCACCAAAACAACAACAATAATCATTGTTGTCATCTTTCACTTATACACTGCTTTCTATTTTCCTGTCTACTTTTTCACTGAATACCTAACCTCCAATCCTGAGCATCAGTAAAGTGGGAGCTATGGCTTCCATCTAAGAGATGAATTTAGTGAACTGGGAATTGGGTCTTGCTTCAGGCAACTTGATAACCCACTTCTGGCCAACTGGATTGCAGCAATTTGACTGAATCCCTGAAATATAGAGGTCTCCAGCAACGCTGTGCCCCGATTCCTGGCCAGACACATTAAAAGATGAGGAAAATGTAAAGCATTGTGACCCAGATCACACAATTCATGGAGGAGAAGCCAAACACATCACTTAGGTCTCTACAGTCTCAGGCCTGGCTCTTTCCCACACTCATATTTTCTCAAATGGAGCCATAGGCTGATCATGCAGGCCCCAGAGTTTGGTACTCACCTCAAGTCAATGGATACACACAAAGGACCACAGCTCCCTGGCTCTCACCTCTGGACCCACAGGACCTTTTTCAAAGTTCCTGTCTTCTACCTTTGTAGCATCCTTCCATAAACAGGGATCATTTTCAGTGTGACTCTGATAATCAAGAAAACAAATTAGGTCCCAGCATCTCTTTCTCTCTGTATAATAGCTCACTCCAGGAAGTCATTAGTGCAGTAAATCAAACTCATGACTGTTGACACCATGAAGTGAGTTGTTTACCTTCATTTGATTCAGCTGAGTATCAATTAGCTCAGTGATATTTACATAAATATCCTGATTTGGAAGGGCAGAATTGTCCATCTGCTTCTGAAAAAGATTTAATTAGGTCCATGTTACTAGAGAAGAAGAAATTAATCCTTTTCAACATTAACCTTTTCAATTAATGTACACTTTGCGATATACGGTATAACATGCCTTGTTATATAAATTGAGCAAATGGAAACCTTTAAGGCTGAGGAAATAATGCCCTTGAAATTGAAAATACATCATTCTTTTCAAATCTTGACCAGGAATGGGAATAGAATACCCATCTCTGACAAAACTAAACAAAAAAGAGGGATATAAATGAAGAACCATTTTGTAGTTAAAAAAAAAAAATATATATATATATATATATATATATATACACACACACACACACACAAAATAGCTATGATACCTATACAGCTAATTTCTCTTAGTTCAATAGAAGAAAGATATGTATATAGATTGTTTTTATGTATATAATAGTTTTTAGACAAGATATTGTATCTGCCTCTTGTACTCTAAATGACTATGAAGACAATATGCAATGTATTAATTATTGCAACTGTCCTACTAACCTGTTTTGAAACTGTCTCAATGATATTTCTTTCTCAACAAAATTAATATAAAAAATACAAATACAAAAACACAAATCTTGACCAGAAAGTCATACTTACATGCCTTCCCACATACATTCCCTCTTGTTGAAGGTTTTTTTTCCACTTCTCAAAGTCTTCTTTATGGTACTGCATCTTTTAGTCCATGGGGACTTGCTAGGGCTTCTGTCTAGACGTCTGCCAAAAGTGTGGGACTTTTAGGTGGGGTTTTCAGAGGTGTCTGATCTAGGATCTGTGTTGTTGGGATGCTGGGATGGATACATAGTGCAGTGCTAGGATTAAGGCTGCCCCACTCTGGGTGGTGTGGGTAGCCTGAAAAAGCAGAAAGAGGATTGCTGTTGGGCACTTCTCCCTTGTTGCATGACTCCTCACTACTTCACTCCTTTGCTGCCTTCCTGTTTTCTGCCAACCCTGAATTTTCTCCTCGACATTTCCCCTCTTCCATGCCACCCTGCCTTGGAACCATCAGACTATAAACTAAAACCTCTGCAAACTGTGAGCCAATTAAGCCTTTCTTCAAAAGAACTTTGGGTA